TTTTTTTTTTTTGCTACCCCGAAGTCGGCATCCAGTTAGTTATGGCGCTATGGATGCAGAGGAAAAGAAGTTTCTGGAGTCTGATCTAATTATTTTTGAGGAATTGAAGTAAAGATGATTTAAAATTGTACTAGTCATAGAGACAAGGATATTTTAAAATTTGATCTAGCTCGGTCTGGGATATATAGTCTAATTCCTCTGAAATAGTATTTGCACTTTGCATATTACAGAGGGTTAAATCTTAAGAGAATTTATTTCGTTGAGCAATATATATCAAATTAAACTTCGTGTAAATAACCTACTTGTCTTTTAGTGTAAATAACTCTTGTGACAGCCATATATAAGCTCGCTCATGATCACTAGAAGTTCAACTGTAACTTGTAGCAACATTTTAATCTATCGTTTTCAGGTTTGTTTATTAGAATTCAATTATTCGTTTAAGCTTACACTCCGTGTTTCCTAAACGATTTTTTTTTTGGGCGACCTTCCTTTCAACTATACTAAAGTTGAAGACCTCAAAGAGACTAATCCAGTTGACGGGAGCATAAGGCTTCTAATGTCACCAGGTCAGTAGAACTTCGCACAACTACGTGATCAAATGAACTAAGGGAAAATGTCTTTCAAACTTGGAACTGCCAAAAGTCACTGGCAAAGTAAAACGTTTTCTCCTTTCAATTTCTATTAAAGGAGCTACGTCAGCCGTTTGCGTATCTTGAAAAGTTTTATGGCCTAAATTTTTAAAGTTGTTCGTTTGTAATCCGTGTTAATCTTCTCCATCCTTTGCCATCCTTGTTCCTATCTCTTTGGTGTTTTTATGTCTTCGTAAACTATTATTTTCAGTTTCGATCTATTTAAAGTTTAAGGACATTTGGTACGAGGCCAAAATAACTCAAAATATATTGAGGACTCCTTTAAATACTGTCCTGAGTATCCCATGTTTTTTTATATTCCAGAATTATCTCCTTTCCAGTGAACTGACGATGCTTTGCCTCCACTTCCCCCACTTCTGCCACCACTGCTCGATCTTCTGCTGTTACTTCCTCGCTCCTCGCGATCCTCCCCCCTTTTCACCTGTAGTTTACTGGAGTCGTCTCTGGTTTTACTTGATGAGCTCCCGGGGGGAGAACTGCTCTCGGAACTCTCTTCGCTCTTGGTTTTCTTTTCTTGCATTGCTGTTGAAGAGAGCACAGTAAAATAACGAAAAATTGGTATTGGAACTCAGTTAAAAGACATTTTTCGCTACAAGGTAAATGTTTCAGGGCTTATTGTTTAAATCTACCACCTCACCGAGATTTTTCCAATTAAAAATAAACTGAGCTCCAAAGAATATCTTTTTCAACACAAACTTTTGAAACTGCTGTAAACCTATCAGCAACCGCTATGGCAATAAAACAATATGCAATGTTATTTTAAAGAGCGCCATTTTGTTTTTCGGTATTCAATGGGCCCTTCGAAAGCCTTTGGCCTTTTGCAACAGTCGTTCACGCGACCGATAATTTCTAAACTTTTAGCTACAGCTACATAAATTACAGAACTGAGAAGAGCATGTTTTAATTAGCCAGAATACTAAGTTTCAGTCCTATGTCATGTAAGGTTGGAATTTAATGACGATTTGAATATTGCAAAGGGTTTGCCCTCCAGAAACCTTTTCCATTATTTATCACTACATATGGAAGCTGCTGGCATAAAACTTTGGACATAGAAAGAGGGCTCAAATATTACGAAGAATTGAAAATTCTAGGTTCTTGCTACATAGGCGGCAAGCAGGTTTGTATTAAAAGGACTAATAGAATGGCGTAGCCGGCTAAATCTAAGCTATTCTGTTCCCGCTGTTCTTATTTCCTTGCACTACCAATTAAAAATGACACTTCAAGGCAGATTCTCAGTTAGCACATGTGCATCTTCTGACTAAGAACGATTCGGAATGAACAAATTACCCTTGAGCCTTAGTTTCGAGCGTGCAACATTTTGCGTTCAGACGTTTGAACGTATTCCGGCAATTTTTAATGTTTTGTCAAAAGTCCATGTATATATCCCCCAATGAATGAAACTACAGTAAAAATAAAACTTTGAACTTCTTCGTAAAAGAACGTCGATATTTTTAGCTGAAGCTACCGAGACGTCTTAATATTTACATTATTTGCTCAAAAATGTTCTTCAAAATTTTCTTGAAAATAGATATGAGGTGGTTTTGAAGTAAGGTACAGAGAACCTGTTTTAACCGGATACCCATGGCAACCTCACAGTATCCGTGTAGTGGAGGAAGTCTTCTTAATAAGCTTTCAAGGGGTCTGTTTTACACAAAATATGGGGAAAAAATTTTGGAACTTTAAGATCGGAGTTCACTTCGAAAAGGGTGTCGCACATTATCTGTTTCCGCTTCATACAGGTTTTGCTGTGCTGATCTCAAACACATTCATTCTGCATATAGGTGAACGTTACGACATGTACTATATCTTTCATTTCCACAAGCAGGGAAAATAAAATAAAGATTTTTGCAAAGGTATGATTTTCTTAAGATTTAAGTCTTTTCCGGCCTCAACTTTCTTGTAAATGTTTATTCTCTTAAAAAAATCGTGACAAAGAGAAGTGTGCGATGACTTAATGTACGTTGTACCGATTAACGTAAGAATAAAAAACGTCAAGATACAAACGTCAAATGCGCGTCTGAATGCAAATTAGAGACGACACACAAAACTAGATTCTAGGACGAACTTTTTTCCTTGAAATGCATAAATGTTTTGTTTCGTTTTGTTTGCTAAAATTGTACATGGTTTCACCACGTTTTAGCGTACTCTCTTAATGTTCTCTGTAGGGAATTTCAGTTTATTTAGAGTTCAATACGCTGTAAGTATCTTTACTGCATAACAGACATTAAATATTAATTGTTCCCGACTACCTGTCAAGGCAATGCGATTCAACTATATACAAAGCTATATTATTTGCATAAATGTTGCGTTAAATCTTTTCGGATAAACCTCACGTATTTTTGTACTTACCTAGTTTATATTTCAGACACGCCACCAATTTTTCATAGTAGTTGATACTTTCTCGGATATTCCCCTGCAAATGGTAAATATTTCCTAAGCTAGCGCAAGCCTTGCTTTCGCCGTCCAAATCTTTTAACTCTTTAGCAACATGAAGTCGTCTCTGATGACAATAAACTGCTTGGTCAAAGTCACTTCTCTGCTCGAGAATATTTCCGAGGTTGTTTAAGAGTTTCGCTTCTCCGACCTTGTCTTGCAGTTCCTTTACAAGTCTGAGTCCTTCCTCGTAACACTCGACAGCTTTGTCTAAATCTCCAATACGTCGATATGTGCAACCTAAGTTGCAATACGCTCTCTTTTCGGCGCGTTTATTTTGGACTGCCTTGGCCAAGTTAAGATGCCTTTCATGGCAGCTTCTCGCCTCGGCAAACTTTGATGCTTTGTAATATAATATTCCCAAATTGCTCAGAGCTTCTCCTTCGTTAACCTTGTCCTTCGCTTTGTTATACGCGCGAATCTTTCGCTCAAAATGTTTCACTTGTTCGCTAAATGACCTGCTATGCTCACCGTTGACTGCCTCACTGTGTCGCTTTTCCAGCGCTGGTTTCTCTCCCACTATTAGCGGAATGTCGCCATCTTTTGGTGGTTTAAGAGGTTCGACCACCTCTTCGGCCTTTTTCTCACTCATTTGAGATGAAAAACTCAAAATTTACCGGGTCAGTTTGAGAATGAACGCGTACTACACCATTGGACGCGACATGGATTTAGATTACCCAAACTCTTTTGTGGTTTGTGGCGAACTGCCAAATTCATTTAGTAAAATGTAAACTCACATGATAATATATTCCTTCCGTTTGAGTCAGATACTTAAATGATGAAATCATTGATATGATTATGAAACACAATCTGATTCTCTTTGTCCAAGTGTGATTTGAGTTTTGCTTACGTAGACACTCGGTAGGCGAAAGTAAAACATCTTTTAAGGCAAAAGAAGGCAATTGTTTTTGTTTTATTTTTAAATGCCAAAATTGTGCCATTGCTAAACATTGAATTTTGGTTTTCACCAATCACATTTAACTGAAGCATTGGCGCGCGGGCCTATAGCTTTGAATTCTGGGCAATTAAAAAAATCAATTTGACATAACAGAAATATTCTAAATTTAACCTATAACGCTAGAAATTCCAATTTTCTATACATACTTTAATGATATCCGCTATAAAACTAAAGGTGTAGCCCAGAGGATCGCTAGAATTTTCAAGTTCTTTTTACGTAATTCCTCTTAATCCTCTGAAGTCTTAATCATCTTTGTTCGTATTTTATGGTTTATTCTGTTGTGTTTTTTCCTTTGAAGAAAATGATGAATTGCCTTTGAGGCTGATGCTAGTTGAAACCATTTTGAACCTCGTAAAGAAGACTTAATCCATCGAAGAATAGGTTACTTAATCTTTCGCCAGACTTTGTCGATATGCTTTGTTTTGGAGATAAACCCTTTTGATGACTTTGTAATGTAAAATATATTTGAGTCATTTAACGCCGACTTAGCCGTTGTTTCGTGACAAATACGAAAAAGCGTTGTTTTAAAAAAATTCAAAGCGACTGTATCCAAACAGTTTTCTAAAAGAAAACTAACATGGTTTGCTAATTACGTCAATTGCCTTTTGAATAATCTTGTTGAACTAAATCTGCGACTAAAGTTCTTTTTCTACCGTAACACCAGACCTGAATTATTTTCTGAGGACAACGCACACAAACAACAAACTTCGATTCTAAGAAAACACAGTTTATTTACAATAATTTATTACAAGACAAAATATGATCTCTACTGTTTAAAAACTACTTCCTGGACAAACGGGTTTTCAACCCTCTGCCAAATTTTCGTTTAAAATATGAAAACTGCTGAAAATCATCTGTATTGAATGTAATAAATAGAGACATATTGAACGGTATAACTTATATGTATAACTGCCAGTGTTCACAATATATCTTGACTACTTTCGTCCATATAATTCAAAGGAAACGAGTAAAAGGAGCGTTCTAGTCATCAACCACGTTTCCATGATGTATCTTCAAGCCTGAGAACGAGGTTTGGAAGTGAACTTGGCGGAATGACGTTGCATGCCGTCATGCAATCTCCCTCGTCGTCACGCAACAACACAAAATAGGGTTACGAAGGGGTCCGCCACTCGCGAGTTGTCACTGGATATTTCTCTTTATTGTCATAATTTATCACACAGCAATATTCTCGGGGTTTGCTAACGTTGCCAGGCTTTTCTGCGATTTGGTGAGAGTAAGGTTGATCTTCTTTTCCAACAAATCTTGGCGTATTTGTTTCAGTTCCTTTTGGGCGGCGTCGCGATTCTGTTAAGAGGAAAAATAGTGTAAATTAGAGTGTTTCGAAATAATTGTGCATTGCATTTATTCTGGTCCGTCTGACCAGCTCTGTAATTGTTTCGCTGACACTTGAACAATATGCTCTCAGCCAATCACGTGCAAAATGAATACTTACCACGTGTTTGTTTCATGCCTCGTTTTTTCCCGCGCTTTGCCCTCGTTGCATGCGGTGAAGTTGTTACCTGTATATTATTTCCCGAGCCGCAGCACACGCCAGATTTCCCGCGCTTACACCCGTTTCTGGTTGGTTCTACGCACTTATAACAGTCAACACCTTTCGCCGTTAATTCCGTAGGTAAACAGTTGTTACAGTGGTGGGGTGGGGGTAGTAAGGCACTCCGTATATCAGCTAAAAATTAAGTAAAGAAAAAAGTGATGAGAAGCAAACCTTCATTTCAGCCGTCAGTTTCACTTTCAATTCTTCAATTCTTCTTCTTAATTCTTCCACCTCGTGTTGTAACCGTGCAAGAGACATCCGTTGGTTTGTCTGTGGACAGAGACAAACACAATGCAGGCAATAAATATGAGTCGCATAATTATATTTATCCACCTTAACTAAACTAAGCACAAAAAGCGCGCGACATTGTGAAGTTATCATATAGTTAGTAGTTTTGATACCATGCAAGCATGGTTCTCGCATTCACCGTTGTCAAAAACGTTATTACGAGGAAACTAACAAATGCATGTTCCTATATTACCTTTTCTGATGGCGACTTGAAGTCTCCTCCTGCTTGAGGCTTGCTGCCCTCTCGTTCTAAACACAAAAAGATGGCAACTATATCAAACACGGGAGACAATGTTTCATCGGGATATCCAAACACCGAGAGGAGAGTTGAAAATACGACGCGCAGCGGAGTATTTTTGACGAAATTCGAGGTGTTCAGATAGCCAACGAATGAGTTTGAGAGGAGCATGTCTTTGTTGAACACACGGTATATGTATATAAACTATTGCCAACAACGCTCAAGTACAACTACTGTAACTTAGTCGAGAGTACTTTTCAACATTTCCCCCAACTACACAGCAGACTCACTTCGGGCCAACTGATGTGTGTGAAGCGTGCAAATTGGGTGTACAGGTTTAGTTTGAAAACTTATCTCAATTAATCTTCCTTAATCGTAAACACCATTTTTCCTATTTCAATTTCGATTTATTAGTACCTTCTCCTACTTAAACTTACATTCAAAAACAGTAACCTCAAAGCCATTCAAAGGTTGGCTAATGCACACCAGGTCACGTGCAGGTAGAAAGTTGCGTGTGACTCTAATCGTCTTAGCATTCTTCTTGACCACAAGTTATAGGTGACAGCGAGTGCAGTTTCTTCTAACATCGCACCAGTCCAGTTCTGGCCCTCACTTTGTCATGCAAGGCTACGCTCTCTCGAAGGAGGGGCACCTCTCTCTCGAGAACGTCGCGCTGCATGGCAAAGTGAGGGCCAGAACTGGACCATGTAGCGTCCATGGAGTGTTTCGACCATAACTTCACTCTGATTATGAGCCATTTTGATTGACATGTTGTTATGTAACTCTGAATTTAAACCGGTAATCATCTTTAATCTACATAACATACCTTTACTCTCCAAGTACGCCATCAAGGTCTTGTGCTGTGCATCAACCTCGTGCCTTAGTCTGTTGACTTGTTCTTCTAATGTAGCGGTTTTTCTCTTCTCCTCAAAAAACTTCTTCTTCCAAATGTTCTTTGCTGCATGTGCGGGAAAGGAAAATCTATCAAATAAGTGTTCGCTTGATTGATTACGACACGTACAGGAAACTGCTATTGTAAGTAATTGTGTAGACTTTGGGCCACAAGGTTGGATTTAAATTAATTCTTGTATTACAAAGTAGCTGGAGGAAATACAATCTTCCATAGGCAGTAGGAAAAAAGCGACAGGTACATTTACCCACAATTCTTAGCACACGAAAGCCTTACCAACGCTAATAAAAACACACAGACACGTTCTAAAATCTTGAAATTTTCTTGTGCAGCAGTTTTTTCTGGCTTGGTAACTGCCCACCTAAATTCCCCAAAAGGTAACGGTCCATCCATGACCCCATATAGTGTGGTTAACGTGTTCACATCAACATTGCTACAAGTAAAATTAACACCTACCTTGATTCCTCTTCTGTAGCATCTGATTCTGTAACATCTTAGCTCTGCGCACTTTAAACTCCCTCTCTTTTTCAGTTTCCACCCTGGCATTCTTTGCCTTCCTCAACTCAGCCTTCAACTCTTCAATCTCCCGGCGTTTCCTATCCTTGGCTGATGCCGTGTCTTCTCCTAGCTCTTTGTTACCCCTCTCTGGGTATTTCATGGGAGGTGGGGTGGGGGCTTTAGGAATTTGAGGTATTTTGTATTTCTCATCTAAAGTTTCTACTGGTTTCTTTGCGGGCTTTTTGACCACTTTCTTTCCTTTAGCAGCATTTCCCTTCACACCATCTTTCTTTGCACCATCCTTGGCACCTATTTTATTAGCGCCCTTTCCTGTTGCTCTCACATCTTCGTCAACCTTCGGTGTGTCCTTCAAAGCATTCTTATCCTCATTTGAACTAAAATTGTTAACCCCTAGATTGTTAGCACCATCATCTTCTGCCACAAATGCTTGGTTTTCTGGGGCATAGTTATTGAGAGTTTCTTCTCCTCCAAATGAGTTATCCCTAAAGTAAGAGAAAGAAAGGATTACCATAATTAAACCTAACTGCACTCATGAAATGCACAAGATGTTACTTTTTCCTCTCTTCTGACACTGAGAAAAAAAATGCCTGATCACAGGTTACTGGTGATAATTAATCAATGAAACCTTTTTGGTACACTTTGGTGGCACACAGCACTTATCAGGTTAGTTTGCTCAAGCCGTGGTTCGATTTTGGCAAGGCATAGCTGAGCTAAAATACCCAGGGCAAGACCAAATGAGCATAACATGCCACTGACGTGTACCCAAAAAGGTATGATCAGGTATTTTTCTCACACCCAAATTTGGCCAAGTAACAGGTTATGTAGCCATATCAGGTCAGTGACTTGATATCACAGGTTATAATCCATCAAATATTGTTTTGCTCACAAGTGATTGGTCTAAAATTAAATACATCGCGTGACTGAATAAGCTCCAGCTAAAACTGGGGAATATTCGAGTGATATTCTCCAATTTTGAAGAGCTCTGGTGTGTTGCAAAAAACGTTTGAAGGACAATAAACACAATAGCCTCCATTTGGCAAGAAAATATCTTTGGATATTTGTCTTTGGAAATTACATGTATCTGTTTCTTAAAACCCACAGTTGTCATCAAGCTTTGCTCTCATAAATCTGTTTGCTTCTCAGAACAGATACACTGTTGTAATGTCCCTGGACAAATATCTGAGCATATTTTCAGGCCAAATGGAGGCTAGTTTTTGTATACAGTGTACATAGTACATTTACATCTACACTGTACATGTACACTGTATCAGGACAGTAGACAAAACTTCTGATTGGCTAATTGCAAATCTGGATATGACGATGCATGTAACAATGAGACACAATCATCCACAGTTATTCATGATACAGTAATTAAGAGTACAAGGAAAAAAAACTTACACATCTCGTGCCCCATTGCTAAAAACATTGCCATACTCATCATCAGGTATTGGGGGCCTCCTCGCTCCCTTGGCTGGGGAAGGAAACTGAACAAACTTTGATCTCTCTTCAACTTCACTTAAACTTGGAGGAGATTCAACTCGACTCATTGTTACTTCACCGTACACAGCTGAATTATCATCATCCTCATATATAACATCCCCACTGTTTTCTTTTTGACTGATGTGCTCTTTGGGTTGTGTTCGCTCCAGAGAAGGAGAGCGCGACTTCTCTCGCCTTTTCTTTTTACCTCTTTTGGTTTCGGCCGACTTTTTCTTCTTCTCTGTTGCCATCGCATCTTTATCATCAACTTCACCACTTGGATTATTGTTCTTTATCTCAGAAGCTCTCTCCTTCTCAGAAGGACCACTAACTGGTTCAAACTGCTGTGCAGGAAAAGGGGAAGAAATGACACGCCCGGAGGGAATTGGAGTAGGAGGAGAAATCAGTACACCCCCTTGACTAGGAATGGGAAGGCTCTGATATACTTCTGGTTGAATGAACTTAACAGTCTTAGTTTCTGATGACTGATTGCTTCCCGATGAACTGCTACTTCCTTTCTTTTGCATTCGGTTCTTTTTCGACTTTAATGCAACAACATTAGAAGCTTCCTCTTCCTGTTCATCTTGACCTGCTTTTTTCTGCTTCTTCCTATGTTCTGTTCGCTCCATCACTTTTGGCTTATCGCCTCCGTCACCACCATCATTCTCTGAAGACCCATCGCTTCTGTCCTCTATTGACTGACGTCTACCAGTGACCTCTTGGTTTCCCTCGTCTTGTGGTCTCTCAAAGTCGCTGCTACCCTCGTCATCAGATATTGACTTGTTAGACCTGCTGGTCCTCTGAGTGCAATTAACATAAGGTGCCTCTCTGCTTTGCAAACCCATCTGCTCCACTTGGCCAGACTGCTGGGGTAAAAAGCCCACAGGTAGCATGTTTGGCAGGGCTTGTGGATGTTGTATATATCCAACTGGATATCGTGCTTGTGGTAACTGGTGAGGCTGCATAGAAGCCATACCAGCTGGGGAAAAAATAATGAAAGGAAAATAGGTGTCAGTGCTCAATACAATATTAAAGCAGAGATATTCTTTCAGAATAGACCTTTCCCGCATTCCAACAAACAGTGGAGCCAAGTCAAGTGGAGCCAACCTCACTCTAGACTACAAGTAGTCCCTCTTTTGCTTGGACCATCGTTTGTGACGTGAAAGAAAACAGTGAGAATAAAATGGCTGCGCAAAATCCTGGAAGCTATTTTTCTCTCCCGGGTTTTCTTTCATGTCATGCATGACGGACTAAGAGAAAGAGAGACTACTCATAGTCTAACCTCGCTCTGGTGCTATTGTTCGAACACACTGACGTGAATGGAGGAAATGTCTATTAGTTAAAAAAGCCTATGTAAAGGTCACACTGTTTTTGGATCAGGGCCAAAATTTCTAATGAAAGCTATTGAGCAGCATTATATCAATTTGGTACTGTTTGTTGTACCATACAAGGTGGTTCTAACTTCTGCTGTGTATCTGGGATGAAACCAGAGGGTGTGAATTTGTTCAAAGATATTGAGCAACACTAGACAAATTATCTGACACCAAACTTGTTTTGATGTTAAGATGGATAAATCGTCTAGGCATCCATGTAAATCTAGTGTTTAGATAAAAAACTGTTGCAAACTTTGTCTTAAAACTGATTCATCTGGCAGTGCGTCTTGAAGAGGTGCTGACAGATGAATTGTACAAAGACAAATTTTTCCACAGACAAGTAATTCATCTAAGCACCAGATTTATACCTGGGATAATTTATCCATCCCAAGCAAACTAATTTTTTGTCTCGGACAGATAATTCATTCATAGTATAAATTTCCCCATTTTGAAAATTCTATAATGTTGCATATTAATTTTCAACTTTAAACTTCAGTCATCTTGAAAATTTCTTCACAAACATGGACTCTTATCCTTATCATAATCTTATAAAATGGACTGTTATCTTGGAAAGTTTTCACAAAGATGAATTATTTCATTGCACACCTGTTGTGAGGCCGTGTGTTTGTATAATGGTATTTGCAGCATTCTCCACTGGCCTAGCTACAGCATCATGCGTTCCAGGAAGAATAAAAATCTCTGGGCTGTAAGCCTACAAGAAGATTAAGATGTAGGCACCTGACTGTATATTCTTGTTGTATATTATAAATTTAAAAAAAATTAAATATCAAAGAAACCAAGTTTTCTTTGTCCCACAGTATCAAATGCTGACTCTTGGTGATTATAATCCATCACATATTTTTGTTTGACTGTGATTGGTCTAAATGCATCACATGACTGAATATGCCCCAGCTAAAACTGGGAATATCCAAGTGATATTCCTCAAGTTTCAAAACTGGGCATGTTGTGAAAAATATTTGAAGAATAATAAATGCAATGGTCACCATTTGGTGTGAAAATATGCTCGGAAATTTGTCCTTGGACGTAAGTGTTCCTGAAAGTTCACTGTTCGCCACTCGGAACAGATAAATTGTTCACAGATAAATATCAGAGCATATTTCCATGGCAAATGGAATCTATTGTTAAGTTTATATCGTAACTTCAACATTAATAGTCACAATGCCTCCCAGAGCTCTGGCTGGTATACTATTATAAATGACCAAGGTTGGTGTTGGTAGTTTTCAAATATTAACCCCCTAGAAGAAGTCATTGTGGTCTTCTAATATTACAGGTACTGCCAGCAACAAGGCAGCCACCTATTTCAAATCATAATGAAAGCACTGTCACACTGTAGGTGTACACGTAGCTGATGGCGACTTACATGTCGCCAGGGTAACTACTAAAGAAATTTGAAAGAACCCTGTCTAAGCAAACATGTACACAAATATCACGAAGTAGGTTTCCCTTTTCACATTGAGATGATTTGGAGAATCTCTCATTATTACAAAATTAACAAGGGTGTATTTTAACAGATAAAGGAAACAACCTTACCACAGGGGGTAAAAAGTCCTTGGCCTTGAGCAGACGTTCTTGATTTTCTTTTATCTGAATGAAAGAACCACAAATTGGCATTGATAACATTAGAGTGCAAAATTTTAGAAAACACTTATAGAGTTTTTTCCCAGTTGCTTTTTAACAGAAGTCTGCCTGCCTATAGGATTACTACATAGATGTACAAAGACAGTGGAAATTTCCTACTAAAACCCCAAAAATTGTGTTTTTATAGAAAGGCAAGGAATCTTTTAATTATAAATAACAAATTGGCTGAATAAACAGCCAAAAAAGTGACTTTAATAATGAGAAAGTAACTGACAAGTTACATTTTTTTGGTTTTTAATAACTGTTCTGCAAATTTAGTAACAATAATACTAATAATAATAATACTAATAATAATAATACTAATAATAATAATTAATAATAATAATAACAATTGCCAAAGAGTCACCCTCGCGAGGACGTGAGGGTGACGAGGCAGCAGCATTATAACGCCGACACGCAAGTTAATTTGGTACAGGCAGAAGAAATCTTGAATGAAAAAGTAAGCATTAAGATAATGTAAGAGTGATATCATCGGTGATTGCTTTCGAGTTAGCCAGTGGCATAACAGTATTTTTATCTAAACCAATCACATCAGGAGGATCATAAGACTTTCTGGAAAGTCCCTCATCTTGTTTATTCAGTACCCACATGCTTTCCGCGTTAATCAGCATGTCACTTCGCCGAGTTTGACACCTCTCTAATTTGCTATGTGTTTATGGATTGTTTAGGCTCATTTCTATTGCAAGATATGTTTTTAAATCTTCAAGCAGTTGCTTTCAAGGGACAAAATATGAAATTTACCGTGAACATGTTGCTAACTTGCATTCTATATTTGTGATGCCAGGCCTGGCTGTTTGATTAGAACTGTTTGCAAGTACAGTAGATTGATTCTTATCACGGGTATCACATTTGTCATCGTACGTTTTTCTTCGGAGATGCCGTAGCTTTACTTCGATAAAGCTATACATTTGTCTACAGATTTTCTTATAAGTTTCTTGCATCTATCTGATCGAACTTATGTCGCTCGATGTATAGGTTTATTCCTCATTTTGTTTGTTCTGGCACCACATGATTCAAATGTAGCTGTTTACGTGCAAGTCTGTTGACTGTTTTGCGTGTTTATATGCCATTGGTCGACTTAGTTTTAGTTCAGGCAAGACCATGGTTTCGATCGCCCATGTGGATCTCATCAGTTGCTGGTATTTCTAAGATACTCTGAAAAAATTTTCACTCGTCACACAACTGTCACAGTTTTTACTCGTTGGCACTCTACCGGCAGGTATCACTAGTAATAATAATAAAATAGCTGCGTGGATGATAAAGTCCAACTTCTCACATGTACAGCTCCTAGAATGCTTCATTTCTTATTCACACACAAATGCCTATAGCAAAAATGTACAGTATTTTAGAGCAAAACCAGAGAAGACTACGTTTTATCATTTACATCACATTCATATTCGAAAATTGAACGCAAAAATTAACTTCTCAACAGGCATTTATAACACGACCAGTTATGAGAATTTTATCCTTGGAAAGATAACAACACCTTCGATATATAGCCAAGCACGATAAACTTTTATTTGGTTAAAACAATCATTGTTTGAGGTAAAAACCCGAATTTTATCTCGAAAAGTGACAGAACGTAATGAAAAGCTCACAAAGAAAAGCTGGATCAAGCTTGAATTGTCATATTTTATAATAAGAACCGGGAAAAGTTGACATAACAGCTGCCTCTGTTTTGAGAACTCCCGCGCCGGTGAAATTGGAAAGTTCGAGAACCTATAAATAATTAAAATCTGCGAAACCTAACTAATAGGTAATTTGCAGCTAAAGGCATTGTCGTTTTGGCTAGCAGATGTTTTCAAGTTAATTATACACCAATATGCAAAAATCTAATAAAAAAGAATCAAACTTAACGCGGAACAACACCAGATCTGTAGAAACAAAGAGCAATATCTGGTTCTTTCAAAGAATAGATCCAAACTCAAATCCTTAGATACATAAATAGATCCTTAGATCTCGCAGAAAGCATACAACATTGGCTTTGTGTACTTTCGAGAACAGATCTTGATATCTTCAGGTTTCATAATTTTATTTCACGCGCAATAATACTTGTATATGAAGCTAACATGTTTTAAATTGTTTCATACGTTTTCATACTTATACTTACCACAGCCATACATCTTCCAACGGATCTAAGAAACACATAATCTTCTGGAACAACTTCTGGTCCCAGTTGTTCCTCGATGTGATCTCGCAGATAATTCAAAGAAATATACGGCTGAACCCTAAAAGCATTTGAATTAGACAAGTTTAGGTACAGAACGAAGCTTGAATTGAACGGGCTTCCACGAACGGACATTTTTTTTAGCAAACGTGCTATTTCTTCTCGATTTTTGGCAAAACGACAGAATTACCTGACAAATCCCGCGGAAACAGACTCCAAAGCAATATTGTTAAAGGCTGTTCGGTATTTTTCGAGCCACAGATCCAAGGGAACGACAAATATGTGCAAATCTGCCAACTGAACAAAAGGAATAAAGTACATGTAATGCTCAATTTCACAATCAAACTCACACCGGTATATTAACGGATTTGCAGCTCATTTTTACCTCGTCCGGTGGCAAAAGGCCACTACTATGGGCAGACATCCTAAAGAATACTCAGTGTAGGCAACAAATGATCATCTTTCGGTTAAAAGCAGTAATTTTGCCAACACACTTCACCACGACTATATGCAAGCCACACTTTCTGTCGTCAAGCGTTTAGTTATTGCCCACTTACTTGTTGTTAGTCACGTGACGAAAGCTAAGTGACGTCATGCTTGCATGCATGAGCGGGAAATAAAGGTGATCGAACAATTTGATTGGTTGAAGAAAAACAAGTAGCAAGAAGTATTTACATTAGTGATTAATTTTGTATGCAGCTTAACACACTAAAGGATTTTCTTTCATCTGCCTGATGCATGAAGGCAACGATGCGTATATCCCGGGAAAACTTAAAAGTAGTCTTTTTAGATTTCGCAGGTCGCACGTCAGTTAATATTTTAGGGACTTTATCTTGTACTTAAAGTCCTGTCGCATTTGCGACTTCCAGCATCATAGAGTTCAGTTATGAGACAATTAAAATCAAAACAGCTCTTACTAAATGGTTGTTAAAGAAACAAAAAAATCTCTGAATCAATATCAATGATAATTCCGTTCAAAAAGAAGAGTTAATTACCGGTTTTCTGAAAAAGAATAATTGCCCTGCTTTTGCGTAAGTAAAATATCTCACCGAGAAGTCCATAATTTTTATATTCAGCTATGTTCAAGGCAGCTGACTTTGACTTTGGCTACATTTTAACCGGCCTGTCTAGCCAGTAGAGAACAGTGTCAGATTTCGGCTATAGCATTTTTGCTGCACAAATCCGAGACACGAGCTAAAAGGTCGAATTAATATATCACGTGTTATTTAGTTCAGTTTCGAGTTCCATCAGATTACGGTACTCAGTTACTAACTTGACATTTTTGTACGTCCTACAGGCTCATTTTGTCTGCGAGAGATAACAAGTTTTACACCGCTTTACCCTGCAGATTAAAAAAAAAAAAAAACAAGGAATTTTTTTGATACTGATATCCACACATTTTGCCGTTAAGGTGGTATGGTACCCTAAAATGGACCAAAACGTTTGTTTAAATATGGTGAAGAAAGATCAATTGGTCACGTTCTTATAGCAAACAGTCGTTGCTATGGCCGTTGCTGCGTGAAAAAGCTCATACCACTGTGTATTTTCCTTAAATTTCACACTCATCTAGAAGAAAATTCGGCAAGATCGTTTCAAAATGTTTTTGACAAGTCCTCAAGGGTCTTAAGTCTTGTGTTTCCAAGAAATTGAATTTTTCATGAACATCGCCATATTTTAGGGTACCATAGCCCCTTAATATCTCCACCCCTCGATTAGTTTTGCAACCTAAGTGATTACTTCCAGATTACGAACTGGGGAGGGGAAGGTGGATATCGTTTGCACAGGCAGTCGACTTTAGATTGCGTTCCGTTTGGTTTCATCCCTCGTAAGCAAAGTGATAGGGCAAGACAACCTCGTTCCCAAGCTCTCTCTTCTCTGCCTCCCTTGGTCGTTGGAAGAAAGAAAACTACCAAGGGAGACAGAGAAGAGAGAGCCTGACAACGAGGCTGAGAGCAAGACACGTTTTTTTCGCAATTCATCGATTTCAAGGGAAAACTCTTTCGAAGGTGCTGTGTTTGGCGAACTATATCTTGAGACGGTCGAAACTGGGACCAAGAAATGTTCGAAACGCCTTCGGAAATCTTCGGAACGTTCTAAATATCGAGCGGAAAATATTGATCCGAACATCTTTGGACATATTCGCCAGGTTGTTTTTCAAAAATCCTAGCCGCTTCTCGGATAAAACCTCGCGCTTGTGACTCAGGTAAAATAGGCGCTTTGCAGCTGGGGTCACGTGACCAAAGTTTCCTAAAAATATTATATATATTATGGGCTATAACTAAAAGACTGCGAGAAATGGAAAGAGCATTTCGATTATACAAAAATGGCTAAGTTTGAGGCCCCTGGCATTAAAGAGTAAGTTTATACGTCAGATAGAATTTTCTGCCTTTGCAATGACATCTGCAAATGGTTAGATATTCTAGTCTTCTCGGATAAGGACGATAAACCGTAGGCCCCGTCTCCTGCATCTTCACTGTTATGGTCAGCAGGGGACGTTAAACAACCCACACACTCATCGTAAAGAGCAGGGCAAGAAGTTCCCGGTGTTGTGGTCTGGTCTTTGCCCATTGTGCTGTTTGAAATGCTCGGAGACATAAGCTGTTAAAGCTGCTCTACAATCCGAGGGTAAATAAAGTATACAAATAGAAGCTTTGACGGCAGAAAACCGAAAGCGGAGCTCAGCTTAATTGATGTTCCATCCTTTGTCAACGCTTGGCGGAGCTCGAGCGTTTATCAGTCGCAATTAACGTAAAGATGATCACATGAAGCTTATCGTTTTTTTCGATCACTTCTACAAGAAGGACAGAAGATCTTCTGTTAAAAAAGAACCGTAGAAATATATGATCTTATACTTGGTCAAAATGCTTGAAGACAAGAATTTTGTTTTATTTTGGAGAAATGTTCTTTTTGCGAGTAGACCTCACGGCAGTAATCAGCTCTGTGGCCGCCCATGCTCGTCATTTCTTTTAATTAGCTTCTAATTCCGATAGCATAGCTTGTACGCAGAAGGGCATAATCTTTTAACAGTTGGCAAAGAGCATGAGAGCTGTACAGCACTTCACGAGAGTTGTAATGATATTAGCTTTAGCTACACCATAACTAGCATGAACATCGTCTACTGACATCGTCGACGTAGCCAAAACAGAAGTGCTTTCGTGTGACTTTTCGTGGGAACGTCAAGTTGTAATACTAAATGAGAGCTTACAGACGTATTGGTGGGCAGCAAGAACGGTTCAATAGCTAGAACATAAACTTCCGGTCCAAATTCATGGCGCTACTAAGTGGTCCTGTTATGTTCCTTTGTTATGGGAATTACCATGGCGTTTTACTTCCTTGTTTGTCACTAGGGTGACCCAATCAGATAACAGTATTCTTATTAGCCTGTGCATAACATAATCGAGAGCTAATCGGCTGAGTCAATTTCTACATCTTCAAGTATAATCTGCAAAGGGTTTTAACGCCTCATTTTAATCCGCATCGTAAGCAAATTTGGTCGTTACTGATTTCTGGTGCCTCCTAAAACGCGGTAAAGTTTGCAGGATGAACACCTCAAGATCATTTTGATAAGGTACGCCGTTTAAATTGTCATCTGCAATATTGCAATCCGTAGGATTGCCGCTCACATTTCTGAACGGCTTAAAAGATTTCCGTTTTGTATCACTTGTGAATGATTCCGTCATAGTTCTCAAGCTCTCTATACAAATACATCGACTTCGATCGAATGCGCGCATAATTTATTTGAAATGGAAGCCTCGAAGATAATACGTTTATCTTAATGTTAAAAATATAGATTAGGCCAAACGACGAAATGGTCAGTTTCCGTCTGTGGTTGTTTAAAAGAGCTATTTTTTCTTCTACTACAGTTGTAATTAAGATTGCTACGGAGAACTGGAATGCATGCACAGAGCTCGTTGCTAGCCATACCATTTTCTTACCTTGACTTCTCTAAACTCTTTGTGCGAGTCGAGGTAGTGAGTAATGTAAAATGTTATGGCTGTTTATTTGAATGATTGTATGAGGCTACCGATTGAAGCCCGATTAAGGGCCATTTCTTTATTTTCCTTTATCGCAGAAATGAACGCAAAGTTAATTTCCTTGTCCAATTATTGTATAACAAGAAAGTGAAAGTAACTGTGACGTCACTGAATCAATCTCCAGATAGTTTCGATATTTAAATACTTCACAAAAAGTTTGATGTCCGTTCGCAATTGCGATCGGGCCAAGTTTTCCGGATACGAACGCAGCGGAGACTCACAAGAAATAGCACTCGTAAAAGCTGAAAATGCCATGCTGGCTCCATACAGAAAAGAGTTAAGGAAAGTTTTGTTAGAATATTTAACATGGATGCACGATTCCAAGAAAGACCGCATCTGCTTGTCCACTTGCATAACTTTACGCGTTAATGACCCCAGGGAAATTATTACGCAATAACAAAGAAGCAATGGAAAACTCTATTGTGTTTGAACAAACAGGGTCGTTTTGTTCTGTAATCGATTTATTCGCAATCATAGATTCTTATAATGGCTGAGGCGTATAAGACGAAACCGCGATCCACGTAAACTTTGGCCCATGGCGCTAAAGCAGACAGTAATCATTCTATTTGATCTCGAGGATCAGTCAGATCTTCTGGTAATTAATGGCCGGCGTTACCTATTCTGCTTAGCGACTACTCAAAATGTAAATTCAAATTTAGGGTTCAGACCCTGAAAAGGTCCATTTCGCCTACATAATTAGGATTTCCCAAGCAGAAAAAAAAATAAAGCAATAAAAACGAAGTATATTCTATTCTGTTATGAAATTACCCTTCTGAAATTTGTTGGGCTGCCATTCGAAGTGTTAAAAGAAAAACATCAGTTGCTTCAATCACTTTCAACGGCTCACAATTATATAATCTTACCCCCTTGAAAAAAACACATGATTTCTGTTCTTAAAAATAATTCTATTTCATCGTTCTACCCGTTTTTAGATTATGATGTCATCCTTCCAATGACACCCTCCACCCCTCCGCCCCGGTGATCTCACTATTCTGTTTTTAGATTATGATGTCATCATTTCGATGACGTCATCCCAGGGGGTCTGCCCAAAACTGTCTGTTTTACACTACCGTTTTACCCATTGCAAATATTTTTCACAACACTATGAAATATGCACCTTACATAAGATGAAGCCACGTAAAGAAATCAAATTGCCCAGTTAAAATGAATATCTGTGCTTTTAGACTGATAGTTCTAGGACATGATCCACTGGAAATCATTTTCACATGGTTTTTCTTGTTGTGAAAATACTAAACCAAAGACAGCTAATTAAATATGCATAAATTAGTGTCAAATGGCCATTATTGCAGGGGGTGCCTATAACTTGAAGGGAATAACATATTTTTACCTACTGTTTTTGCCATAATAACAAACATCTGTGCCAAATTTGAGCAAAATCGGTGATTTGAACTGTATCATCACCCCCTGCCTGGTTTTTTCGTGGACACACTCTTGATAATGTGTCGAGAAATTATTTGAAACCGTTATTTTATGTAAATATGAAGTAAATTTCAAGCTCAAAATCTGGTTGTTAAATTAATCAATAAGCAAGTCAATCAATGGCGATAATAATAATAATAATAATAATAATAATA